AGTTTAAGTAATCACACTGTTGTAAAAATAATTTTAAGAATTTTAAATGGAAGCAAGGAAAAATAAAACTTAGAAAAAATTGATATCCCTTAAATATACAGAGTATCTAAAAAGGCCAATAGTATTATAGATAAATGGGCTGAAAAGTGATTGTACAGTTTCAAAAATGAAAATTGATCTTTGTGAAAAGATAGATGCTCAGCCCCACTTATCATAAAAAATATAAATCAAAACTACATGAAGATTTTTTATTATAAAACTGCTGTTTTTCACGTTTTAATACGGTGGAAGTAAAAAGGTCCATGTCTTCTCTTTCCAGAAAGATTTAAGCCCACAGAAGACAGGAGCCATATTTTACCTCAAGAGCACCTTAATTAATATCTGATTAGCCAATATCTGGGGAATGATTAGAGGTTAATGCTGTGGAAGATACCGATGGAAATTTGTTCTTTTCAAAGTTGCCACAGACTTCAGAAACAGAAAAAGGCAATAAGTTAGGGGTGTTAGTGAGGGGGGAAAAACACATTCTCTGCCTTGAGGTTATTCTATTGCTCTGGAACAGTACATTCAGTCATCTTCCTGTCTGGGTGTAATTTTGAGGGAAAAAAAAAGAAGAAGAACAAAGAAAACAGTGGCAATTCACTATTGAGGAAAAAAAATCAGTGGCAAGCCTATGGTGAGGTTTTCAGTCTTTTTCTGGCATAATCTGGCACGTTAAGAGAAAGCTATTTGAATTATATGACCATGTATCCAATTCCCAGCATTTCATCCTCTCTTTCAGGATATCTTAGATTGGTAAAAATCATGAAGTAATTTTTAATCAACCCAGTCAAAACAAGAATTTAAAACAAAGCCGGATTTTTACTGGATACGCGCCCTAGTAGAAGCTGCTGGTTGGGGGAGGTGGTCTGAATGGTGGAGGGAGAGGAGTTAAGGGCAGATAAGATACTGGCAATTATTTTGGTTCACAAGTAATGGCTAAAAATGTCTCCAAGATATTTATTTTTAAAGTCTTCTTGCAGTTCTTTTCATAAGCTTTTCATATTGAATGATATAATGAAAGGGCTCAATTCCAAATATTATGACATTTTATGCAGTCACTACTTAAAATACTTTTAAAATGCCAAAAAGAGCACAATGCTAATGAGAAAAAGGCAATTTTGCCTAGTCTTGACAAAGTTAGAATGAAGAAGATAATCTCTAATCAGAGGGGAGGTTAAATCTAGAATTAATATAACTAGTAAAAAGGTATAGTGTCTGGAAGGGTACAGGTCTAGAAGAGAAAAATAATGTCTTGATTTTCTATGAATTGTAAAGTGAATAAAACCCATAAAAAGCATGACAGATTTTCAGTGTAACTAGCAACTTTCATTTTGCTAGCTTTCATACAACAGTAGATCCAAACACTGAATATGCGTTAGTTAAAACTCCTAACATAACATTAAAAAATCCCAACCCATACATTTTTAGGTCTATAGTCAACAATTTGAGGTTCTGAAACAGAAGTTATTCTCCTCACAAGTATTATACACAGCTTTAGAATAGGGTTAAATGTCTCTTCCTGAGGTTGTTTAGTTTCTTCTCTTGTTTGTTCATTTCAATACCTTGTGTGACTGTGGTCTGACATGCAGACAGAGAAAAAGTGGCCGGGGGGCAGGCTGTGTAGACTGGGTACAGGACACTTTTTATACCGTTTCTAGAGGTATAGACTTTGCTGAAGGGATTTATGAGCTCAAAAATCCACACCCCCCCATGAGTGCCAAAAGGGGAGCTTTAATGTCCCATTCTTGGTTTCCTTACGAAAGAGCCTGTTCAATATGTGATCTTTTTGGCAGAAAATATTTCAAATTTTACATTTGCTTGAAAAACATTTTTTCAGAACACTACTCAAAGGCAAGACACAATGCTAGGAGTTGATAGAAGAGAAGTAGTTTGGAGTTGTAAGGAGAAAAATGACTGGCAGTTTAGAAATGGTCTATTTCCAATGCATCCCTGCTGATGAGGGAGCTGAGATTGGTGAGAAAGCTAATGGGGTGACCTGCTGTGTCCAGGCATGGTGCCATTATGAACAGAACTAAAACTGAATAATCTTGGTGATTATGAAACTTTCCTTTCCACAGATCCTGTTTTATGCATATCTGAAGTGACTCAAACAACTCTGTAGACCAAAGCTGAGGCTGCAATTAAAAGAAGGATCCCTGTCCTCACAGAGTGCAGAACTCAGAGCATAAAGAGAATGTATATTTAGGGCAGAATTTGATAGGTAAAAGTAGAAGTGGAGGAACATACCACACATTATAGGCATCAAAGGGAGCCCCGGAGGAATGTGGAATAAGATCTGCCTGGGAAAATCTGGCAAAGCTTTCTGAAGAAACTGCCCTCTGCTCGCTGATACACCATGCACCAAATATGAAGATTGTCTACAACATGTCAGGACTGGGTGCGGGGCCAGGGGAGGGGTGAAAGAGAGAGACACATAAGAGTACAATATCATGTGTTAAGAAAATGATACAGATAAGGCAGGTAGGTTTATAAGCCACACGAGACTTGCCTTGTCCAGTCCCAGGTGGAAGGGCAGTTAGTAAGGGCTTTCCAAAGTGGGAAACTTGAGCCTAGTACAAAAAATGTGCCATGGGGTAGGGGGAGAGACAAAAATAAGCCTATGCAAATAGCACAAACTGAGCAGAGGCACAAAGGGAATAAACAGACTTTGAGAAGTAGTGACGGGAAGATTAGAATTTGGGCAACGGGGTGATTAAAGCCACGGAGATGAGAAAATGTAAATCAGTTGGATGAAAACTAAATGAGAAGTTTAGCATACTGGGCCAGAGAGTGAAAGTATGTCATGGGTGAGAGGAGAGAGCCAGGTGGTGTGTCCTAGAGATGAGGTGGGAGGAAAGTGAGAGCCTTGAAAGTCACGTGAAGAATTTTGGTTTTATTTTCTATCTCTTGGGTTGCCCCGTGATCAGTGACGCATTTAGGGTGGGATCTTGCCGCAGAATGAAGGATGATAGGAAAGGGATTAAGGTCAGATGGCAGCTTGGCTAGCTGCCAAGTGGGTAAAATACTAGCAGAGTTTGGTGAATGGTAGAGCCAGGCAACTCCAGGTTGGCAGTCGGGGAGTGGGAGATTCGGAAGCATCTGTACTTGCTTGTGTCAGGAGGGAAGAATCCATGGTGCCTGGGGTTTCCAGCCTGTATGTTTAACAATATTATAGTAAGGAGGAGTTCTACAGGTAAAGACTGTGATTCTGATTGCATACCTAAGCCATTCCACATGGAAGATGCAGAAATGTAATCAGACTTGAAGGTGGGAGTGTTCTGTGCAAAGGTGAAGCTTAAGACATGGGAAGAAATGAGGTTGCCATTGAAGAACCCCTCCGTCCTTCCGTTTGGCTTCTTTCTATTCCAAATATATGTCCTTTGTATCCAATCACATTCCAAGGTCTACCAGTCCTATCTGGTCAATTATGAAACTGTTTCATCATTTTCCTTAGAGCTGTGTTTTCGAGTACTTAGTTATGTGTGGCTAATGAGCACTTGAAATGTGGTTAGTCTGAATTAAGCTGTACCGTAAGTACAAAAACTTGTAGTCTGTATGAAAAAATAAGTGTTAAATAGCTCAATACTATTTAATATGATTATTTGTTGAAATAATAATTTGGATGTATTAAGTTAAATAAAATATATTGTTAAGTTAATTTTAGTTGTTTATCTTAAGAACTAGAAAACTTTAAAACACATGTGGTTCATATTATATTTATATTGGATATACTCTCTAGAGTATTATTTTGGCATAGTAATAAGATATAACTTAAAAGTGGGATATAAAGTATTAAGACAGTTTACAAACATCTATAACCACATCTCTCTGGGTACTGTGATTCCTTATCTTCTTCCATTGATCTATGTTACTCTGGTACGTAAATTTCACCAGTATTAAGTTTGGGGCTTTCTTAATGACACACCCAAGCAACTCCCTAGTAAGGGTGTCAACTGCCTGAGTCATCTTTTTCTAATAAGTGCTTGACACAAACATTGTCAGGCAGCAGCTTGCTAGTAAACTAACTCTCAGAAACAGAACAAAATAAAACAGGAACAAAGACAAAATCCTGAATTTCATGGTATAAATGCTTGCACAAAGGCCAATTTCATGCTACCACTATTTTATCAACTTGTTTGCCAAATTCCTGCATAGCTACCAAAGCAATCTTATGAGACAGTTCGAACAGGTTCTTAGTTTCATGTTCTTTCAAATACGAGCCATTTGCTGAGCCAAAGGATCAACTCTGACTCTAGAGCAGAGCTATGCTAGCACTTTTTGCAATGATAGAAACGTTCTATATTCTGTGCTAAGTGGCTAATGAACACTTGAACTACGGCCAGTACAATAAAAAACTGAATTTTTAATTTAATTCAATATTAATTAAATTAAATGTAAGTAGCCTCCTGGGGCTACTGGCTGCTGTATTGAGTAATCCAGGTCTGAAGGTGAACAGGGCAGATGGAAATTTCTTTTCTTTTTTTTTTTTGTGCAAACATAAGGTATATTTGTATATCAAATCATCATGTTATAAACATTGAATATATACAGTTTCATTTTTAAATTATACCTCAACAAACCTGGAGAAAACAGACTTAGAAACTCATATAAGCCCAGTTTCCAACTTGGGTAAACAGGGCTGGAGTAAGTGGTGGGGATTGAACAGATTTGCTCCTATTGATATTTCCTTCTGGGAAAAAGAACACAGAAACTGCTCTCAATATTTTTTGTCACTATATTTTTTTTTCATGAAACTCTGGCAAATATTCCCTTAATTCCAATTAATATAACTTAAATTTGTGAATATAATTCCTGCAAACTCTGCCTCCACATTACAAAAGCCACAGATTTTGAAGGTTCTTAAATAAGACCTATTAAGATTTCCATAGGAGGACTTTCCTCATCTTGGTTGCTGAACATAAGTGCATTCCATGGTCACTAAAAAGTTCTTTGAGCACCAGGAGAGAACTCAGTTATTACAGAATAATCATCTTGGTTCTTCAGAAAACATTAGACTACTGGTTGGGGCCCAATGAAGAGAACCATGTGGAATTTCCTGCTTTATATTCAGGTGCAGAAAAAACATGTCTTTCCCCATGGGTAATGAGGCTCAGAACAAAAAGAAAATCTCCAGCTTTATTAAAAAAAGTATTTGACAATAGCTGGAGGCATAGTTATATTTGTCTTAATAACATAAGATTCTTCAATCTCATTCCCATTGTTTCAGATTCCAGATGAACTCACCACCTTGTCAATTAATCAGAAAGTCATTGACCAAACAAACAAATAAGCAAGCAGACCAACAACAGAATCAGGCTTATAAATACAGAGAACAGACTGGTGGTTACTAGAGGGATCAGGGGTACAGGGATGGACAAAATGGGGGAAGGGGTGTAGGAGGTACAGGTTTCCAGTTATGGAATGGGTAAGTAATGAGGATGAAAGGCACAGCATAGGGAGCACAGTCAATGGTATTATAATAGTGTCGTGTGGTAATAGATGGTAGCTACACTTGTGGGGAGTGCAGCATAATGTATAAACTTACCAAATCACTATGTTGTATGCCTGAGAGTAATTTAACATTGTGTGTCAACTATACATCAATTAAAAAATAAATAAATTTTAAAAAGGCATTGATCAATGAAACTTGAATTTAGATAGTTGACTGTCTAAATCAGTTCTGGTTCCTGAAGTTCATCTTACTGCACTTCAGAATCCTAAGACTTAATGCTCGATAACTGTTTCTAAGTTCATCCTATGAAAAACAATATAATAATTTCTTCATGGCTTCATTAATCCCCAAATGGCAAAAATAATATATTAAGAGATCAGTGGAACTTTGAATTAAATTAATAATACTAAATGTGTATACACTTAATAAAGATTTTTTTAAACTTAAATTCAATTAGCCCACATATAGAACATCATTAATTTCAGAGGTAGAGTTCAGTGATTCATCAGTTGCATAAAACACCCAGGACTAATCACATCACATCTCTTCTTCAATGCCCATCACCCTATTACCCTATCCCCCTACCCTTTTCACCTTCAGCAACCCTCTGTTTCTTTCCGACAGTTAAGAGTCTCATGGTTTGTCTCCCTCTCTGATTTCTTTCCATTCCATTTTCCCTCCCTTCCCCTATGATCCTCTGAACTATTTCTTATATTCCACATATGAGTGAAACCATTTGATAATTTCCTCTCTCTGATTGACTTCTTCCATTCAGCATAATACCCTCCAGTTGTATCCACATCGATGTAAATGATAAGTATTTATCCTTTCTGATGGCTGAGTAATATTCCACTGTATATATATACCACTTCTTCCTTATCCATTCATCTGTCAATTGACATCTGGGCTCTTTCCACAGTTGGGCTATTGTGGACATTGTTTCTATAAACACTGGGGTGCAGGTGCCGCTTCTGATCACTGCATCTCTATCTTTGGGGTAAATACCTAATAGTGTAATTCCTGGGTCCTAGGGTAGCTTTATTTTTAACTTCTCGAGGAACTTCTATACTTTTTTCCCAGAGTAGCTCTACTAGCTTGCAATCCCACCAATAGTGTAAGAGGGTTTCCCTTTCTCTGCAGCCTCACCAACATTTGTTGTTTCCTGACTTGTTAATTTTAACAATTTTGACTGGTGTAAGGTAGTACCTCACTGTGATTTTGATTTGTATTTCCCTGATGGCAAGTGATGTGGAGCATTTTTTTCATGGGTCTGTTAGAGAAATGTCTGTTCATGTCTTCTGCCCATTTCTTGACTGGATTTGGGGGGCGAGGTGAGGGGTGTTGTGTTTGGTAAGTTCTTTATATATCTTGGATATTAAGCCTTTATCTGATATGTAATTTGTAACCATCTTCTCCCATTCCATAGGTTGCTTTTTAATTTTTTTGACTGTTTCCCTTGCTGCACAAAAGCTTTTTTATCTTGATGAAGTCTCGATTGTTCATTTTTGCTTTTGCCTGCCTTGCCTTCGGCAACATGTCTAGCCAGAAGTTGCTGCAGCTGAGTCACAGAAGTCGCTGCCTGTGTTCCCCTCTAGGATTTTGATGGATTCCTGTCTCACATTGAGGTCTTTCATCCATTCTGAATTTATTTTTCTGTATGGTGAAATAAGATGGTCCAATTTCATTTCTCTACATGTGGCTGAGCAATTTTCCCAACACCATTTGTTGAAGAGAGCATCCTTTTTCTATTGGATATTCTTTCCTGCTTTGTTGAAGATTAGTTAATCATAGAGTTAAGGGTCCATTTCTGGGTATCTGGGAACAATGTCTGTTTTTGTGCCAGTACCATACTGTCTTGATGATTACAGCTTTGTAATAGAACCTGAAGTCCGGCATTGTGATGCTACCAGCTTTGGTTTTCTTTTTCAACGTTCCTATGGCTATTCTGAGTCTTTTCTGATTACATACAAATTTTAGGATTATTTGTTTCAGCTATGTGAAAAATGTCAATGGTATTTTGTTAGGGATTGCACTGAAAGTGTAGATTGCTCTTGGTACCATAGACATTTTAACAATAATTGTTCTTCCAATTCATAAGCATGGAACATTTAGCCATTTCTTTGTTTCTTTTTTTTTAATTTCTATCATGTGTGTTCTATAGTTTTAGAGTACAGATTCTTTACCTCTTTGGTTAGGTTTATTACTAAGTATCTTATTTTTTTAATGCAATTATAAATGGGATCAATTCCTTAATTACTCTTTCTTCTGTCTCATTGTTAGTGTATAGAATTGCAAGTTATTTCTGTCCATTGATTTTATATCCTGCCACATTGCTGAATTCCTGTATGAGTTCTAGCAATTTTGGGGTGGAGTTTTTGGGTTTTCCACATAGAATATCATGTAACCTGCAAAGAAGGAGAATTTGACAACTTCTTTGCCAATTTGAATGCTTTTTATTTGTCTTTCTTATCTAATTGCTGAGGATAGGATGTCTAGTACTATGTTGAACAACAGTGGTGAGACGGGGTATCCCTGATGTGTACCTGACCTTAAGAGAAAAGCTCTGTTTTTCCCCAATAAGAATGGTATTTGCTGTGGACTTTTCATAGATAGCTTGTATGATACTGAGGTGTGTTCCCTCTATCCCTACACTTTGGAGAGTTTTAATCAAGAAAGGATGCTGTATTTTGTCAAATGCTTTTTCTGTATCAATTGAGAAGATGATTAGGGTTGTTGTCTTTTCTTTTATTAATGTGATATATCATTTTGATTAATTTGTGGATGTTGAACCACCCTTGCCACCCAGGTATAAATCCCACCTGGTCGTGGTGAATAATCTTTTAATGTACTGTTGGATCCTATTGACTAGTATCTTGGTGAGTATTTTGACATCCATGTTCATCAGGGTATTTTCTATAATTTTCCTTTTTGATGGGATCTTTGTCTTGTTTGGGGATCAAAGTAATGCTGGCTTTATAGAACAAGTTTGGAAGTTTTCCTTCCATTTCTATTTTTTAAATCAGTTTCAGTAGGACAGTATTATTTCTTCTTTAAATGTTTGGTAGAACTTCCCTGGAAAGTCATCTGGCCCTGGACTCTTGTTCTTTTGAGAGGTTTTTGATTTCTGCTTCAATTTCCTTGCTGATTATTCATCTATTCATACTTTCTATCTCTTCCTCTTTCAGTTTTGGTAGTTTAAAAGTTTCCAGGAATGCCTCTATTTCTTCCAGATTGCCCAATTTGTTGGCATATAGTTGCTCATAATATGTTCTTAAGACTGTTTGTATTTCCTTGGCATTCACTGTGATCTCTCCTCTTTCATTCATGATTTTATTAATTTGGGTCCTTTCTCTCTCTCTCTGTCTCTCTCTCAGTTTCTCTCTCTCTCTTTGGTAAGTCTGGCTAGGGTTTTATCAATCTTATTAATTCTTTCAGAGAACCAGCTTCTAGTTTTGTTGATCTGTTCTACCAATTTTTTGGTTCCTATTTCATTGATTTCTGCTCTAATCTTTATTATTTCTCATCTTCTGCTTGATTCAGGCTCTATTTGCTGCTCTTTCTCCAACTCTTTTAGGTGTAAGGTTAGCTTGTGTATTTGAGACTTTTCTAGTTTCTTGTAAGAGGCCCGTGTTGTTATTAATTGGTTTATATAATTGGCTGCTCCCAAATTAGAAGCATAAGTATTTACAGCTTTTAGATCTTCTTGTTGGATAGACCCTTTAAGTATGATATAGTGTCCCTCTTTATCTCTTATTACAGTCTTTGGTTTAAAATCTAATTTGTCTGATATAAAGATGGCTACCCCAGCTTTCTTTTGGTGTCCATTAGCATGATAAATTGTTCTCCACCCCCTCACTTGCAATCTGGAGGTGTCTTTGGGTCTAAAATAAGTCTCTTGTAGACAGCATATGGATGGGTCTTGCTTCTTTATCCAATCTGGTCCCTGTGTCTTTTGATTGGAGCATTTAACCAATTTATATTCAGAACAACTATTGAAAGATATGAACTTAGTGTCATTGTATTACCTGTAAAGTCACTGTTTCTGTATATTGTCTCTTCCTTTCTGGTCTATGTTACTTTTGGGCTCTCTCTTTGCTTAAAGCATCCCCTTTAATAGTTCTTGCAGGGCTGGTTTAATGATCACAAAATCTTTTATTTTCTGTTTGTCCTGAAAGTTCTTCATCTCCCTTTCCACTCTGAATGACAGCCTTGTTGGATCAAGTATTCTTGGCTGGATGTTTTTCTCCTTTAGTACTCTGCATATATCATGCCAGCCCTTTCTGGCCTGCTGGGTATCTGTGGGATATGTCTATTGCCAATCCAATGTTCCTACCCTTGCACATTAAGGACCTCTTGTGTTGAGCTGCTTTCAGGACTTTTCTCTTTCTCTGAAACATGCAAACTTCACTATCATATGCCAGGGTGTTGATCTATATTTATTGATTCTCAGCTATGATTTCCTCAAATATACCTTTTGTCCCCTTCTCTCTTTGTTCTTCCTCTGGGACCCCAATAATTCTAATGTTGTTTAACTTTATCAAATATCACTGATTTCTCAAAGCTTCCCTCCATAATCCATTAGTTGTTTTTCTCTCTTTCCCTGTGCTTCTTTCCTTCTCATCATCTTGTCTTCTATGTCACTGACTCTCTCTTTTGCCTCATTTAGCCTCATTGTTAGAGTGACCATTTTAGACTGTACCTCAGTTAAAGCATTTTTAATTTTAGCCTGATTAGATTTTATTTCTCCACAAAAGGATTTTCTTGTGTCTTTTATGCTTTTTTCAAACCCAGCTCATAACTTTATAATCATTATTCTGAATTCTAGGTCTGACGTTTTACTTATATCCATATTGATTATATCTGTGGCAGAGAGTATCACTTATGGTCCTTTCTTTTGTGGTGAATTTCTCCTAGTCACTTTGTCCAGAGAAGAATAGATGAATGAGAGAACAAAATAAAAAATATCAATCATGACTCAAATTAAATACGCACTAGACAAAACCAAAGCAATCAGAAAGCTAAAAGGAAAAGAAAACAAAACAAAAACACAGAGAAAAAAAGAGAGAGAGAGAATATAATCTTAGAGGTGGACAAAGTGGGGTGATCCTCTTGGTCTGGGTATGTTTTGATCTGTTCATCAAAAGACACTAAATCTCAAAATTGCAAAGAAGAAAAACTTATATATATACAAAAATAAAGCTGAATACAGTGAAAAAAGCCAAAACTGGAGAACATATCTATAAAATGTAAATAAAAATGAAAATTTAAAAGTATGAAAAACAAGAAGTGGATAAAATAAAAAACCATTTGAAAAGGTAAGAAAAGGAAAATTTTAAACTGAAAGACTAAAAACTTGTGAGAAAAGTCCTCACATTCTATATACTATTTTCCCCTAGTGCAGGAGTTTTTCAGTTCTGTGTGCTCCATAAACTTGGTATTTGCCAGAAGATCCTGCTGATCTTCTGGAGGAGGGTCCTGTTGCACTGCTTCTCAGGTGTCTTTGCCTGGCGGCTGGGCTCAATGTAAGCTGCCTCAGGTTGCTCTATATGGCTCTTGTTCCCTGAAGGCTTTTTGTGCCACTTTAGAGGATGAAAAAAAATGGCAATGCCCCAATCTTAACCCCATGCTAAATGATCGGCTCCTCCATTCTTCAGTGTACCTTCATGGAAAAAGAATCAATCCCTTTTGTGTGCAACAAACACAGACACCTGCAGTCCACACCTGCACTAATCTTCCCAGTGGAGGGAGGGGGTATCACTGTGGCCCCTTGCTTTCCAGGCCTCTGCTCCAGTAGTGGTTTGCCAAACATGTGCACACCTTGCACTTCTCCTCCGTGGGGAAGGATCAGGGTCCTGTAGCAGTTTTGCTGCTTCCTGGGCCCCTGCTTGGAAAGCAGTTTTGGCTCATGCAGGGGTTCATGGTTTATGGCAACACCTAGCTGAGAGGAAACTCTGGGTTTCACTAATTCTGGGCAGCTTCCCTGCTCCAGTGTTTTGGAACTCTGCCCCACTCAGGCACCCCCATTCTTTCTGAGATCCTGCGGATCCTGAGACCATTCTGTCCCAGCTAGAATTCTCTCCTACTTCACCACCTGAGCACCTTTC